TTTTTTTTTCAATTTCGTAATCTAAAGTTATGTCAACTAAATAAAATAATAGTTGTGCTAGTATCTAAATCCAATACAATTTGAATGTGATTATATTGTGAGCTATTGGGAGATAAAAAGGGAATGAAGAAATTACTAGAAAAATGTTTCTTATATATATTAATCTTTTTCTATACTATAGTCTAAACTGACGTTTGAAATTTATTTATTTAAAGTATCGAGCTCAAGTGTTATAATAAATTCGAGGTGAATGAAGTATAATTCAGAGAATTAACCTCACAATATTTGATAAAATCAAAGGAGATGGACAAGAAGAAGATTGACACCTTATCTTCTTCTTGTTCATTTTCTTTGATTTTATCAAATATTGTGAGGTTAATTCTCTGAATTATACTTCATTCACTTCGATTTTATTAAAAGGTGTCACAATTAATTAACTTGCACCCAAAAAAGGTGTCAATTAATTTGGCGGTGAAGAAACAATAAATAGGTAGGTAACAAGCCTAGAACCTTGTTATTTGTCTGCAATCCATGGAAGAGAGATGCATATACATATTTATTTATTTTCCATTTAGACAAATTAAGGAAACGAAGAAGAGAAAATAAACCAAAGAAAGCTCGAATAAACCCTAAAGCAAGCTATAGAAAATAAACGGCATCATTTTAGATGTACCTTATGAGGTACTGTTGATGTATCTCATCTCAGTTAATTAAAGAAACTTTAGCAATATATAAAACCTCTCAAGTAAAAATGTACCAAAACAACTCCTCAACTAACAGGTGTAATTAGTTCATTACTAAATATATAAAATCTATTTTCTCACAATCTTCATTAGTCCACTACTTTTTCTTTACCAAAATGAATATTTCTGATTATCAGTTTATGACACGTGTAAATATTTACGGAGGAATTTGGAAAATTAAAAGTTCCGATAGCATAGTAACATAACATCAATATTTTATCAATAACTTTAAATTAAGGGAAAATTCCATATAAATACCCCAACTAAATTCTATTAAGCTTTTTAATACCCAAACTTTTTCACTACCCAGTTTAAAACCTCAACTAATTATTCTGCTCACTTTAATACATCAACTTTTATAACTGTATCCATTTTAATACTCAAACTTTGTTTATTTTAATTAACAATACTAATAAGTTTCCAATGAAATTTTA